CCCCACCATTGTCCGTGTCCTTGGGTTGTGTATATATGCACATAAATTCTTTGGTTACTCTCTCCCCCTCCATCCCCCCGCCCCCCTCTTTCATTATACTAGCTTTTTTTGTTAGTCATTAAGTACACATAGAAGAAAGTATAATAGAATAATTGCTCACATGTATTGAGCATTTATTATGTACATGTANTAGTCATTAAGTACACATAGAAGAAAGTATAATAGAATAATTGCTCACATGTATTGAGCATTTATTATGTGCTCAACAATGTACAAAGGGCTTCATATGCACTATATCACTTAATGCCCATAACAAATCTCTGGGGTAGGTAGGTACTGTTATTATCTCCACTTATCCCTATTTAAAATGAGAGAACTAAGACTTGGAGAAGCTAAGTCACTTGCCCTGAAGGTCAACTAGTAAGTTCTTTAACTATTAAAGTTCTTACCTTTGAAGCAAATCAATACAAGAAGGCAACATCATGTAAACAGCAAATGTATATATGAAAATTGTGAAAATGGGGCTACAGATGTGTTGTAGTGGGAACAAAGTTGGTGGAGCAGGTAGCAAATTATCTTAGAGTTATACTCAACTAGATCTCAGCTACCATGACCCTCAGAGGTACAAAGGGATCTTCTTGATTGAGTACACGCCTTATTTTTCTCTCTTGCTGACAAGCATCTTCCTCAACTTGGTTTTCAAAATGTTGAGGAATTTGCCATGGTGACTTCTAGGGGTCAGGAAAACCACCCACCTAATAGACAACATCCCCTTTGCCTGCAGTTGATCAATAAGGAGGAGGAGCTGTTGGAAAAGGAGAAGAGTACCTTCCCTCTTCTGCAAATGGTGATGACCAACAAAGTGCCTTATGAACAGCTGTGGGTGACAACCTATGAGTTCAGCATCAAGTCAGAGGAGTGGATGAACGGTAGGCCACAGTCCCACTATGCTGGGGCAGGATGGAATTGGAGTAATGGATCCACCCCAGCCAATGCTTTTTGCAAAAAATATGCTTTTATTGATTTTAGACAGAGAGAAATGGAACGGGAAAGAGAGATAGAAACACTGACGAGAGAGAAACATCGATGAGCTGCCTCCTGCGCACCCCCTACTGGGGATCGAGCCCACAACTCGGTCATGTGCCCTGACCGGGAATCAAACTGGGGACCTCTTGGTGCATGGGTTGATGCTCAACCACTGAGCCACAGTGGCTGGGCCACCCCAGCCAGTTCTGAAGTAAAGTTTGATCTTCAGATTCTGGTGGGACTTTGCATAATATTCTGATACTCCGGGTTAAGGCATCCGCAATCAAATTTTTCTGATATGATAATGATGGAAGGTAGGCCTTGAAGAGCCAGACCTATTGCCAAGGTAAAACAGAACAGGCAGCCATCCAGAGACATGGATTGGATAGTGCCTCGGAGGCAGGTGGTGAGAGAATGGGATAGCAGTTCCATTAGTGCGCTGTTCCAGAAAAGGCCAAAGTGCCATGGACATCTATAAACTCCTTTTACTCTAGATCCTGGAGGCTGGAGAGAGATTGAGAAGGTAGGGTCAATAGAACTTAAAGATTGACCTGATATGGGGCAAGGGGGCAGGGCGGGAGAGTGAAGGACCAGGATGACTTCTAGACTATTAGCTCAGGCAAGTTGGTGGATGCTGCTGTCACTAAACATCAGTATCCCAGTCTTTGGCTCATCCTCTTGTTCTTCTGACAGTGTCTTTCACAGGACGGAAGTTTTTAATTTTAACGAAGCCTAGCTTGTCATTTCTTTCGTCTACCATGCCCTTGTTGTATCTAACAGGTTATCACCAAACCCAAGGTCATCTAGATGTTTCTTCTATGTTATCTCCTAGGATTTTTATTGTTTTACATTTTACATTTAAGTCTATGATCCATTTTGAGTTAATTTTTGTGAAAGGTATAAGGTCTGCATCTAGATTCATTGTTTTACTTGTGAATATCCAGTTGTTCTAAAATCATTTGTTGAAAAATTATTTTTTCTCCATTATATTGCCTTTGCTCCTTTCTGAAACATCAGTTGACTATATGTAGGTTTATTTCTGGGCTCTCTATTCTTTTCCATTGACCTTCTTTCATCAATACCACACTTGATGATTGTAGTTTTATGGTAAGTCTTGAAGCTACTGGAAAATGTCAGTCCCCCAATTTTAATATTATATTGGCTGTTTGGAGTCTTTTATGTCTCCATATAAACTTTAGAACCAATTTGTCAATATTGAAAAAAAACCCATAACTTGCTGGGATTTTTATTGGGATTGTGTTGAATCTATACTCAATTTGGGAAGAACTGGGATCTTTGACATTGTTGAGTGTTTCTATCCATGAACATGGAATATCTCTCCATTTATTCTCTTTTTTGCTTTCTTTCATCATAGTTTTGTAGTTTTCTTCATACAGATGTTGTACATGTTTTGTTAGACTTATACCTAAGTATTTCAATTTTAGGAGTGCTAATGTAAATGGATGTGTGTTTTAATTTCAAGTTCCATTTGTTCACTAATGGTATATAGGAAAGCAGCCCTGGATGGGTAGCTCAGTTGGTTGGAGTGTTATCCCAATATGCCAAGGTTGAGGGTTCAATCTGCAGTCAGGGCACATACAGGAAACAACCAGTGAATGCATAATTGAGTGGAGCAACAAAGCGATGTTTCTCTTTCTTTCTCCCTTAAAACAATAATAAATAATAAATAAGAATAAAAAGGAAAGCAATTGACTTTTGTACATTAATCTTGTAACCTTGCTATAATTGTGAATTAGTTCCAGGAGTTGTTTGTTTAATTCTTTCAGATGTTCTATATAAAGGATCATGTCAGTGGCAAACAGTTTTATGTCTTCCTTCCCAATCTGCGTACCTTATATTTCTTATTCTTGTCTTTGCATTGCTAGGACTTCCACTGAATGATGTTGGAAAGGATGGTTAACGGGGACATTATTGCTGTGTTCCTGATTATAGCTGCAAAGAGTCTAGTTTCTTACCATTAAGTATGATGTTAGCTGTAGGTTTTTATATACGTTCTTTATATCAAGTCAAGGAAGTTCCCCTCTATTTCTCACTTGCTAAGAATTATCATGAATGTGTATTGGATTTTGTCAAATGCTTTTTCTGAATCTATTATGATCATGTGATTTTTCTTCTTTAGCCTATTGATGTGAAGGATTACATTGATTTTTCAAATGTTGAAACAGCTTTAGATACCTGGAATAATAAATCACAATTAATTGATTGTGGTATATAATTCTATTTTATATATTATTGGATTCAATTTGCTAATATTTTGTTGAGGATTTTGCATCTATATTAAGGAAATATATTGGTCTTTAACTTTCATTTCTTTTAATGTCTTTGTCTGATTTTTTTATTAGATAATGCTGGTCTCATAGAATGAGTTAGGAAGTATTTCCTCTGCTTCTATCTTCTGGAAGAGATTTTAGAAAATTGGTATCATTTTTTTCTAAACTATTTGGGAGAATTCACCAGTGAACCCATCTGGGCCTGATGCTTTCTGTTTTGGAAAGCTATTAACATAGTTTAATTTCTTAAATACATATAGGCCTATTCAGATTGTCTATTTCTTCTTGTGTGAGTTTGGGTAAATTGTATCTTTCAAGGAAATGGTTCATTTCATCTAGGTTATCAAATTTGTGGTCATGGAGCTCTTCACAGTATTTCTTTATTATCTCTTGAATGTTCACAGATATGCATTGATATCCTCTCTTTTATTTCTTATTTTTTAAAATATTTTTAAATTTTATTTTTGTTTAAAATATTATAGATGTCCCTTTTGCTTCCCAATGACCCTTTCCACCCCATCCCATCCCCCTCCCCAGTCCCTCTCCCCACCATTGTTTGTATCCTTGGGTTGTGCATATATGCATATAAATTCTTTGGTTACTCTCCCCCCTCCACCCACCCGCCCTCCTCCATCCCTCTGACATTCATCAGTCTCATCTATGCTTCCATGTCATTGGATCTATTCTGTTCATCAGTTTATTAAGTTCTTTAGATTCCAC